ATAATTGTAGCCCCAAGTGCCGATGAACTGATATATGTGAAATAAAGATTGAAATTAGATGATTGATGGAAAAGGAAAAACGTCTTGGTAAGACGGCCTAGCCGATCGGGCTGTGATCGGACGTCATGCTTCACACATGGTGGTATTGTGCTGATATTGAAACCGGAAAGTGAGAATGAAATTGTGACTGGGGTACATGTCTCAATGAGGCAACCTAGCATATCGGGTCGTTGTCGGACTCCGTGCAAGAAAGCGGTGGTATTGTGATTAAAGATGTAACAATATTAAATGTCCCAACCTAAAACTATGGGTCTGTGAAAGCTATGTGATCCTTATTTGATGATGTGGTGATTGTCTAAAGTTTTTGTTGATCCTTATGACTTCTTTATTCTTGTATGGTTATTCTTTCTAATGAGATGGTGTTTAGTTATACATACTAGTACGATTCCATGGTACTAACGTCCCTTTTGACGGGAGCGCTATCTTTGAATGGAAGTAGGTGGTTCCATATCAGACAGTGTCGATCGCAGGTAGTGGAGCATCCTCCTCTCAGCAATCTCGGTGAGCCCCTTTTCTTCCTAGGGTTATGTAGTATATCTTTTGTTATAAATTACTACTTTTTGAGGTATAGCCGAGGCCTTATTTTCGGCATTATCATAACTGTATTGTGTATCTTTAGAGGCTCTGTAGATATTTGTGTGGGTTATGTACCGGCGTTGGATGGGTCACTGGACTCTGTTGTAATTCTAAACTCTTGTACTTCTAAAACTATAACTTTATGAATTTTGGGAACATAACTATGTTTAAGGTTTGTAATATAAAATGAAATATCAATGATATATGTACGATCTTTCCTACTGTCTAATTAAATGAAAGCATGGTTTCTTGATCATAGGGAGTTCGGTAGAAGGTGTCCAAAAAGGCTTGCTCAGTTGGGTTCACTCTATTGAGCACCGGCCGCGCCTCTCGAGGTTGGGGCGTGACAATATCTATCCACCCATATGGTAAAATGCAATGAGAGAATCAGAAGGTAGATGCAAGTTTCAACAAGTAAAAGAAGTAAGGTGAAGAAGGGTATGAGGTACCTAGTTAGTGAAGAATATCAGTATTTACAATTCAAGTAGAGAAATATAAGCATTCTGAGTTACTTTCACCAGTAACAGAGATATATACAATTGACCAATCCCATCTTAGTTATTCCCTATGGGAGCTAACATATATAAGTTAAGAGATGGATGGGATATCAGGATCCAGCTCAAGTTAGAGTAATAGAAAATGGTTGATGAATTGTTAGTGTTAGCTAACGTTCCCGAAAGATATTGCAAACATGGTAATAGTTCTCCTTGTGAGACACCTAGATGGTGCACTCTAGAATAGTTATACGAATACTAGAATGTTCAAAAAATGTAGAAGATTGGCACTCGAATCCTAAAAGGGATACATATTTACCTCTGTATGGCTACCGTCCCTAGTAAAGAGAGAATGTTAGGCGACCTGAAGAGCGAGTGGATGGAGCAAGGGGAGATAAAAGTGAAAGAATGCTTTGTTGAAGTTTTCAGAATAAGGTGATAGACAAAAATATTAGCAGTAGAATAAGAAGAGAGTAAATGAAGCATTATGAGTAAGATGTGATGAATGGGTGATAACGGTAAATCAAAAGATGAAAAGATGAAAGAGTCTATAGTCAAGTGAAGTGAAAGACAAGAGTTGACATTCCTTGAGACAATAAAAGACTTTAAACCAAAAGTCATATCCTCATTTCAAGAAATGAGTTGGTGACTCCAACGTGATTACCAAAAGGAGAAGTTAGACCCCAGGAGTAGTATAAACTAGCATGGGCTAGTGAACAAGATAAACTGAATGTGAATTAGGGACCGAAGGATTTGATAATAGTTGGCATCGTGAGAATTCAGAAATCACGTTCCGGTAATAATAGAATGAACAACAGAAGAATAACCTTTAAAGGTCATTCAGGAAGAAACTTTCCTAAAGCAAGCACTGTGAGCAGAGTTAAGCTTAAGGAACTAAATGTGCCAGTTACACTAGGTTTCACCCTCGTGCATAAGGAATTCAGAAGGGTTACTGCAAAGCGAGTAAGATAGCAGTGATGATGTGAAAAAAAACGCCAAAGATGAAGAGGTAACTATGGAATAGTAAAGGAAGAATGCGGTAAAAAGGCAAAAGCAATGAGATTGCATTTATTCAGATCGTACAGATCTGATACGACTCCAACATTATGTAAGCACGACGTCAGGGAGAGGTAGTAAGGGTCCGAGCACAAGATGTTATTGATAAATAAGAGCGAATGAACATTTGATACATAAGGAGCTAGTGCAAGAGGTAAGTTAAGACAAAAGACATAACCCAAGAAGGGTTAACAAAATATTGATATGAGAATGAACCAACGAGTAGTTTGTAGTTGATTCAGGAAGAGCCTAGTTATGGCTAGACAAGAGGTTGTGATCAAATCAATAGGTCATGCAAGATAAACGTAGTGAACCCCAGCATAGGGAATCTAGTCTCGCAGATACGAGATCGCAATCCTTGAAAACATTTTAATTAGGAGTTGGGTAGTTAAAGGTACGGTTTATGTTTTACGGAAATAAAAGAGAGTGTCACTAGGGAGACAATCAAAATTTGAGTTAAGAAGTAACCCTACGAACACAAGGATATGGAGGTATGTAAGTAAGGATATTTATTTGTACTTGCATTTTTAGAAGCCAAGGTGACAGGATTGACCATCAAGAGATTGTAAAACTATTCTGAATGAGGTTTCAAACAGATATGGCCAGGACTAGCCTAGGGTACTCTAATAAAAGGGGTCTGAACATGAAAGCTAGGAGAATCAGCAGAGCTCAATACTAAAATGGTAAGTTTAGCAGGGAAAACTAACAATACAGGTTCGTGATTAAGCAATTATTCGACATGGGAAAGAATTTAGCATGTTGAACATGGTCACAACATTAGAAGAGTTCAAGAGACATGTCACTTGGGGTCAATATTATAGGCATACATCTAAGCTAACAGTAGTTTATTTCAATTTAGAGGAGAATATTGAGATAGGCTCAAAAAGCCTTGTGCAGCACTAAAGAATCAGCACAAACTAGAGAGTACGTACACATTTCAATTAACAAGCATCAGGAAGCATGTTATGTTATTTACCAATTCAGACAGTATTAGCACTTAGAAATCATATGATTCATGGATATCCCAATAAGTTAACACGGATAACTTCAGCAGAAAGATAAGTTATGGGCATAGGTCAGTTTACCACAAGAAATCTGAAGCAAGTAGAGCGATGCAACCAGGACAACAACAAACATGAGAATTCAAGTGCACACAAACATATTAGGCCAAACATGCTTAACAAAACCAGAAGTAGGGTTAGAATTTAAGAAAGTTCAGGTGCTAGAAAAGTTCAGAGCCATAAAAAAACTTTAGAACAAATAAGGATACAAACAGAGTGGGCATGCTAACATATTGATTCACAAAAGTTTTAGCGGCATGAGTGTATAAAGCATGAACACAAATAAAAGAGGGTGAAACTGCCAAGGCTAAGAACTTACCAGTTACCAATTGACAAACAAGCAAAACAAAAAAAAATAATTTCAGCAATATTTCAATCGTCAGTAGCAAAGAGTGCAACATAACCCAAAATGTCAATATGTCAGAAATTCCTAAGGGTTTCAGATGAACCCCGGGCAGTGCTCACACTGAGAGAGGTCAAACAATCGAATTCTAGTGGCATTGGCTTTCAACCGCCCAAGAGCTCAGGTTTCAAAATAGTATAGAATAAGTGAGAGTGAGAGACTAAAAGTGATTAATGTTTTTTAAGGGATTAGGGAAATATTTATATAGTGTTGAATCAGACGAGTATACAAGGAAAAGAAAAATATGCATGTAATTAGTAGAGTAACATGCAAAGGAAAGAAATCGAATTCCAAACCCTAGTTAGGGTTCAACGTTTGAAATCGTCCAACTGGTGTGAGGAATCAGGCCCCTGTTCATTTATATGGATGAAATACCGTCCAAATCTCAAAGATTATGGTCGATCCAGTCCGATCTAGGAGGTAGTAATTGCCAAAATCGGGCAAGTACCTAGATAATACCACAAACGCGTGAACCAGTAGCTGGGAAATATAGATATGGTAAGCAAATAATGGGTGAATCCCATTATCAATGGGATTCGGAGAGGGAGTGGGAGGGAGAGGCGGCTAGGGTTCTTCAGAAGTGAGAGGGAGAGTTGAGAGTTTTCTGGGGTGGCCGTTTAGAGAGACAATTGGGAATTAGGTTTGGGGCGGGTAATTAAAGATGGTAAGGCTGTTATGGGCTGTTAATCATCTAAGACCAGCGGCCAGGATTTAAGAGTGATGGGGTGGGTCAGGAGATAGGTATAGAGCAAAGGTTTTAGGGTTCGGAACATCCCCCTATAATGGTGGATTTTAATTTACTGGAAGAGCGGGTCATTGATATTTTAGGCTCATGCTTTATGATCTATAGACTAATAGTAATACTTACTGAATCTTGGGCTTAGCACGAGCTATCCATTTTTATTTTGAAGAATGAAAATATGATTTATTAATATGAGGTTAAAATGAGCGATATGGATAATGCGAATTTATATAAGTGACCCTAACTTGCTTGGGCTTTATGTTTAGTAGCTGTTTAATGTAAATATGCTTTGCTATCATGCTTCCCATCAATGCTAATTATTTTGATAATTTATGTTCTTATAATCTATTTCTACGGTATTTTTTGGCTGATATTGTAGCAACAACTTTCTGAGGTAGTAGGTAAACCATGGAGGGAGTCGTGCCCCCGAGTTTGTTATTATGGTCTATATTTCATGTATATGACTTTTCCATCCCATCTGCTTAAGTATTAATCACGAGCTTTCATGGAAGAATTTACTTTGAAAACAGCAGGTGTTTACACCCATTTGGTAGAATTCTGGAACATTAAGTTGACCTAACAGAAGAAAGGGGAACTAATGGACAAAATTCAACTTTCAACGGAATATTTCTACTTAAAACCAAAAAAATCTTTATTACGTTATTCGAGTGAATAAAAAGATTAGGCCTGGGCCTAATTTGTGCAATATAAAGGAAGGGATTAGTCTGAACAATTATACTATGATTGCTCAGTAATTGCCTTCCAACAATAGAGAACTAAATAAAAAAATCTTCAACAAGCCTCCACATATGCACCGTCTTCTTACGCTATTTCTGGGCAGTATGTGCTTCAAGCTCTATGTGAAAGTTACACATGAGCTCTGGATACTTAGTGGCTGATAGTTTTGGAGTTCTCTGGAGATTTGTGTAGTTGACATAGTAAAGTCCAAATCTTATGGTATATCCATCTAGCCACTCAAAGTTATCAAGAAGGGACCAAGCAAAGTACCCCCTTACATCTGCACCTTTCCTGATTGCATTTGCCAATGAATTTAAGTAGCTATGCATGTATTTCACTCTATGAACATCGTTCAAGGCATCCTCTATAGAAGAACTGTTCCCAGCAAAGCCTGCAACATTGCTAGTTATGTTAGTAGATGTATCCCGGCAGATCACATTGCATTCACTCAAGTAATTAGTTGATGAAATGTATCTCATTCTAAAGGACAAGAATGTGAAATATTTTTCTTACCATTTTCAGTGATAAACATAGGAGTATTGTTGAATCTGTCCTTTATATACATCACAACTTTTTCAATCCCTTGTGGATACACAAATTGCCAGTCCACTTCCCCCTGGTTCATTAAAATAAATTCTTTAGCAGTGTAGAAAGTGCAAGTAATAATTTACAGAATGAGATTAGAGATGAGAATCTGATGTGATTTAAGGAAACCTACAGGTTCCCCGATGTAGACACCGTCTCTTTGTGTAGTCGTTAAATAAGAACCCTCTGACCAAGAGTTTCCATGTTCACAGGCAGAATATAAGCAATCTTTGATATAAACAGCTGAATAATGATTGATGCCAATGAAATCTAGGCCATAACTCAACATTCTCAAATCACTCACTGAAAATTCTGGAAGATTAGATCCCAAAATTTGTACCATTTCTTCAGGATATCTTCCTAATATAATAGGGTCTAAAAACCTGCATGGGGGTACTTAGTCAAAAACATTCGTTTACTCTCTTTCCGATGCATAAATACCAGATCGTAGAACCAAACTACTTATATAGAAGGCTTACCAATTGGTATAGAATGATCGAGCTCTTTGAGTTGCAGCTATGTCTTCTGAGGAGTTGCTAAACGGTTCATACCATTCGACACCCATAGTAATGCCAATCATGCCTCCTTGACATTTCTGAAAAGCAGCAGAAAATAGACTATATTACTGATATCTTTTTGGGTCTTCTTACAATTTCAGATTCGATTGAAATGAAGGAATCAAAAGTAAACTACCCCAAACAAGAAGAATAGAAAGAAAGTGGGATTAATTACTATATTATGGTGATTTGATAGATAGCATAAAGGAGGGAGTTTCCAAGGATAAATTTTTCACTTCTAGTCTTCTAATATACAATTTTCCTATTTTACTTCACCAAAAATAGTTAGAGACTGATGATGATATCTTGTTTTACCTAGTGTTCCCTTTCCTTTTTTTTAGACAAGCCAACAGTAGCATTGCACTAGAAGATTAATTACTATTTGAACAAGATCATGCCATGTTGAGAGTTACCAACATTACACTAGAAGAGTAATTATTACTCCTATTTTTGGACAAGTCATGCAAGATCATGCCATGTTGAGATAATGGAGAAAAGGGAAAGAGCCGTCGAAAAAACCTGATATCTGGTGCGGTAAATGCGGACAGCAGCTGCATGAGATAGGATCATATTGTGAGCTGCAATGAAGGGCTCCCTTTCTGAATCCCCGCCAGCACTACAATTCCCAAATATACCAGAGCATCGAGCTGGAGGGTAACTCCCATCTCTATAGCCACTAATGGCCACGAAGCTAGCCTCATTCATCGTTATCCAATATTTAACTCTATCTCCGAAGTATTTGAAGCATATGTTTGCAAAATAGCTAAAATCATACCTGAAACAAAGCCCACCAACACCATTGTAACTTGTTCATCTTTTTGGGTTTCGATAGAATCTACAACTAGCTTCAAGTATAAGAGACGCCAAACTACTTATGGTAAAGTCCCGTAAGTTATGGACAAGTATTTGGACTAATTAAAATCTTAATGATGCGATTAAAGTGAGCATGCGTTGTACCTGGTGCACAAGAGAGTTCTGGGTTCATTGGGATGTGTGAATGTATTTATACTACTTACTCCCTCTATTCCAATTTATTTGAACTTGTTTGACTGGGTACGGAGTTTAAGAAAAAACAAAAAAAATTGGAATTTGTGGTCCTAAACAAGTCAAAAAGGGACCCAGAATATTTGTGTGGTTATAAAAGCTTCTTATTAAGGGTAGAATTGTAATTTTAAGCTAAATTGTTACCAAATTTAGAAAGGGATCATTCTTTTTGGAACGGACAAAAAAGGAAATAGGTTCACTGGACAGAAGGAGTACTAGTTAGAAGTAGTTGAAGTGATAAAGTGTGGCCATTGAGTTAATTAATGACTCTAGTAACTTCATTGAGTTAATATATACCTTGAGATGAAGACCTTACAAATTACTGGAGTAATCAAATGGAATGGGATGTGGATGGCTTGTAACCGATTGTGAACCTAATTGGAGTAAGTTAGAAATTGTTATAACATGTATTGATATACAAATCATGTTGGTTGATTTAATTGGACGTGGTTGACGTCATTTAAGTATTTGGAGTGCGAGGTAGATGTAAGTTGAGATGTATGTCCCTTTAAAGTATTTTTTGAAAAATACATATTTCCTAAGATATAGAAAATGTTAGAAATGTTTATATATAGAATGCATGTTCTTATAAATGTATTAAGATATGTAAAATGCATGTTCATCTCAAGGATAGATGTTTCACTTGATACTTACTGTATCTGTGAATTTAGCCAACCACCATATCTGTCCTCAAGTTCTTGTGGTATGTCATAATGTGTTAATGTGACAAACGGTTGGATCCCTGAAGTCATAGCAAATAACGAACTCAAAATTTTACTTCTTTTCTACATTTTGGATTATCTAAATCATAAAACTGTTAGCAGAGAAGCAGAACAGACCTTTCAGTAGGAGTGCATCAATGAGCTTACTGTAGTACTCAATTCCGGCCATATTAACTTTTCCAAATCTGCCCTCTGAATAAAATTACAACCGACCAAAAAAAAAGGATTATCATCGTAAATGACAATTAGGAGTTTATTTATTTATAATGAAGGAAAGAGAGCAGTGATAGTTATAACTTACTAGGTAGAATTCTTGCCCATGAGATAGAGAAACGAAAGCTATTCACACCCATATCTGCCATGAGTTTGATGTCCTCCTGTTTACATTTTAATACCAAACATCACAACCTTCCGTCTCATGATTTACGCTTTTATATTATTATTGTTAATACACTGCATTAGTCTAACATTCGTTCGTAAACAAATCTAACTTTTTCCCTTTTGTGACAACATGCACGTATGCCTTCTGTCCAGCACAGTTAGGCTGTTCCCTTTTCTTATGCATGAACAAAATTAATTGTGATCTCCTAAAGTCACAAATTGTTCAATCATAAGTACATCCTATCTAGTTTATTGTTGCGTGAGCAATATTTCATAATACCATAAAAACGTTTTGAGTGAGTAGAGAAAAATTATTTAGCAAAAACCATCTAATTAATCTCAACGTCCCTCACATTAGAATTTAGATTCATATCAACTGGTCTGGCATTTCACTGGGGATAAAATACAAATTGTACATGTTCAGAAATACATTCACCCCCCCCCCCC